ACGTCTAGTGATCTACATTTGATCACAAATGGCCACTTTGAACTGACGACCTTTCCCTAGTAAGAAAAATTTTCTCGATGTTTCTCCGATACTTGCCTTGTTGAGATATTGTCCGACCTTCTGATAACTCTCTTACTGAGGTGGCTAAGGCGTATTGACCACCTCTCCTAATCTGATCTGTCAAATTATAACCTGTTCCTCAGGAGTTATGCCACAATTCACTTTCGAGCAAAACGCTTTTCTAATTGTCAGCGTCATTTTTTGAAATTTCGATTGACCTGTAACCAGTCGATGTTTTCAGAAATTGACCACGTACAGATGAAAATTTTGCAAAGTAACTCATAGTGTGCCAGCTATTGAAATGGGTTCCTAACCAGGGAAGTCCGCCAACTTACCATGGAACTTTGAATGGAGACCTGGGTAGATCGATAGAGTCTATAAGGTTATTTACAAATATAGATAGCAAAACTGCAACCTGCATTTCACAAGCAACTTATGAGTTTGTAATGGTGCAGTAGGGTGGAGGCTTGGTGGTGAGCTGTGAAGCATAAGCGAGGAATCGCATACGTCGAATCGAGTCGTGATAAGGTTCCACGTTCGACGGCTCCATTCAACGTGTGCGATTCCTTATGCTTACAGCTCACCACCAAGCCTCCACCCTACTGCATCCATTACAAACTCATAAGTTGCTTGTGAAATGCAGGTTGCAGTTTTGCTATCTATATTTGTAAATAACCTTATAGACTCTATCGATCTACCCAGGTCTCCATTCAAAGTTCCATGGTAAGTTGGCGGACTTCCCCGATAAGTGTCATGGTAATCGACTACATTGGAAACTGCACGATGCTAGCGATGGAAACTACACTTGTGCCAGGTGAAAGGTGATCGGCATCAATATTTGAAATGTACCATGTTTCGCAGATTCACCTGAGCTCGTAAAGGAGCCACCTTTACATGCTAGGTGAAAACGAGAAATTCCTTGATTTTTCCTTCCTCATTGCTCATGCACTTGCCTCCATAATTTCGCAGCCACCAATTTCAGGGATATCCTCACCGCTACCAGCGCTGCTGCCTTCAAGACTAATTCGTAATGGGAACACATACCAAGTGAAGTTCAAAGGTCCAAGCGCGATTGTGGCAATGTTGAGTACTTCCTAATCGTCTACATCTTATCTCAATGCATGTGCATCCCATCGAAGTCGATCACGTGGCAACGTAACTCAACTTTCCTCTCCATCAACACACACTTCTCTGGGCTCTACTTGAGTCTTGCTATTGACAGTTTAGGGGGACCTGCTCTAAGACTTAAAGGTCTTTTCCCCACTGCTTCCCTTGCTATCATTATGTCACCCAGGTAGTAGTACACCATGTCTCCTGACTGAGGGCTCAGAACAGTACATCAAACCGAAGATGATCTAGCACGAAAAATCAGTACCGGATACTGACACGAACCTTCTATTGTGTTGGTTGTATTGGTAAACGCCGATTTCTCCTCGGTTTCTCCAGAGAAACTCATCTGCGATAGCCAATAACCCCTGATGAACTCTATATTGATGGCTCTTCAGACTCTATATTGTTGTCAGCCACAGTGGCTAGTTATCCACGTTCGTAATTTAATCAAGATCTCCGTGGTACACACACAACAGAAACCCTCCTCTTCTGCATCTAAGCGATGAGCAAAGCTCAGGTCTATTTATTTGGCTTTATACTTCTTATACCTCATGTGAAGCACTCAATATTCACCGCAACTCCACGCGGGTGGCTGATGGTACCCGGCCAGCCTTTTGTCGGATCGGTGCTGTCGCATCGGTGTCGACGTTGTGCTCCACTAGCGTCGTCTGGGTGAGCTTTTGTCCGCTCATCGCAAAGGCGTGAGCATAGCATTTGACGAGATTTTTCATTCCCTCTTGTGTTTATCCTGTTGTCGCGAAGTAACCTTAGCAGTGAGTCCTCTCGTCTGTGAGAGCTTTCATAGTGCGGTATAGCATGCCAGCGGAGTACTTACATATCCAACCTCCACACCGTTCACGGGCTTGAGGGTCTCTACCTGCCCCCTAATCAAAAGATCTTTCTTTCTCTAAAGGTGCTTGATCACAGGCAGCTCTAATGCCTAATCCCACCTTCCCATACCATATCGGGAAAGAGGCGTTCGTTGAATCTGCCCTAGAGCGGCCGCACTGAATAGGTATCGATCTTGTCTCTGCTGGTTGTATATACATATAGGGGTTTAGCCACTGTGACTGGGAGAGAAGAGCTTGTTGGTTGCCGCTTCCGCTTACGCTTTGATTTAGCGACGTGTTTGCTTTTTGAAAAAGGCCTCATCATTCCTGTGGCAGGTCGTCGTGCCGTGAGGTATGTGTTCTTCTGTTGAGTGAAATTGTATCTAAGCTTATGAAGTGTATTCTTTCCTACGACTATTACACCGTCCCCTTCAAACATGAGAAGGCAGCGGTCCGTTGTTTCGTATCGCCGTCCACTTGCAATGTTAAGCTTATCACCCATTAGGAATATTGCTGCCCAAGGCATCATAACCTCTTTTTGCCACCAAGATCTCTTCAACACCGCATTTTGGCACAGTTCACACTTGCCTTTGACCTCACCTGTTCCGCAAATGCACTTCCTCGACGATGAGCAAACATTTCTGCTGGCTCTCTTTGCGGGGTTTTCAGTCGAGCTCTTTGACTGCATTTTCAGCACTATTTCGCTTCTTCAGCATTGCGCAGTTTTTTCTCAGATGTCCTCGCTTGTTGCAGTTATGCAACTCACAACGGCCTCTGCTGATCCGTTCTTACTCGGACCTCAGACTTATTGCATAGATTTTCTAGTTCAGTCATGGTGCCCATCACTCCGATATTATTTTTCGTATTCTGCCATTTTGATGTCTTCTTATATTGCCTTTCGAAGCGTCTCGCTCTGCTGCTGCCTCTTGATTTTTCGCACTTCTGTGCCACGACCTTCATCGTGTCGGGCGCCAGTTATTTTGGAGCGTTTTCCATAGATTCGTATAGATGGAGTTGTTCCGACCAGTTCGTCGCTGACTCATATCCTGCTCAGTGAAACAGTTCTTCCTCTGATGCATCAAGGTAGGCTTTCCTAGACAGCTCCTCCAATGTCGGGCAATACCTACTGATGTCTCCACCCTTCTTAAGGTGCTTCAGGTCAATGTATGCCTTCAGAGGTCGTGTCGTCATTCACTTCAAATTTCTGTCGTGATGCGTCTACGAGATTGCTAGCGTTCTCTCCTCTTACGTGTCTTACTGGTGCTTTTGCCATCGCGTCAGGGTGATCACCCAATTTGGATAATAGTAATTGAACGAGCAGGTCACTTCGAAGACCAGGGTTCTGGTATTTAGATGTTAATTATGAAAAAAAAACTCGTCAAACTTCCTCCATTGAGGGCCACTAAATAGCTACAGTTCGGGTGGGACCTTGACTACAAATATGAAACCCATATTGTTCTCAGAAAGGAACTCCGCAATTCCGATGATGGTATATGGAAGCAAACGCACCAGCGTTGGAAGCTCCTCTGCGTTGCGCTCTTTTATAAGCTCCATATAAGTTTGTGTCTAGCAATATCATATCAATACCAATCGTCGAACGTGCAGCTGCGGAAAAAAAAACTCGGAACAAGCGGTGTGTTCATATTTTCATCCATTCTTGAATATTTGTTCTCCTCCAAACCAGCGATATTAGAAGCAGCATTCAAGAATAAACATAGTGAGATAATATTATCAGTATCTTGGTAGAGCGGAGGTAATGCAGTGGCAAATGGCTCTACCTACCACAGGCGTGGTCCGAGGGTGAAATCTCAGATCGGCTCCCGCTCAAGCCAACCAAACGCTTGTCCTTCAGGACTTGACAATCGGTACCAGACTCGACAGGGGATAAAAAACGCCGTTTTGCCTGACCGTGTTTTATTGCATCAACCAACTCAGTCACGGGTGCTGCTCCGGGTTGGCGCAGCCTCAGTGTATTGAGGGCGTACTGACAATCGACTGATACAAGTGTTTATTGGAACAGTAGTGTCCGAGGACACTACTCTCTAGCTGACGCTAGCTTAGACTGAATCTTCTTAGCAATAGCCGGCCCTTATATAGGGGCTCGAAGGGGCGGAACCGGAAGTGCCGCTGGCCATTGGTCCGTTAAAGGGATGACGTCACACTTGGCGGGAACCAGGCATCGACTGCCCGAGCACGCGAGCCACGTATCGATCGGTTCGGCTGATGTCCCTAGGAACTGAGAGTAAAAAAGAACGAGAGAAAGACATAGCAAATTTGAGACTAAAATGGCTACGGTATCATAACATGCCCTGCCACAGCAAAGAGTCGTCCCGACTCTGTGCCCGCGACTCCTTCGACGACTTAGTGGCGTTTTCCCCGAACTTACCTCTCCTATCTCTCTCCGCGGGACTAATCCTCCTAGCCTGACGTCAGCGTCCCTTCTGAGGACTACTGGTTGTTGAAATGCCAGGTCCAGCTAGTAGCGTTTCATATCGTGAATGACAAAAGGCTTGGACCTGTGTTTCTCTTGGAGACATTTCGCGCGTCTCCCCACCACTTCTGATCTAGAATCGAGATCACGCTGCATTCCTGAAGCGGATGGTCCATCACTATCAGCATCCTACAACAGACCACTTTTTTGAGGATAGAATTACCACAATCAGCAGCTTTTCTGGGTCTCCCTCTCTTTCCTCCGTGTTGTGGTTGTCCTGAGGGGTTCGTCTGACATTCCCGCTGGTAACTTTACCAGCATGTCAAAAGGTACCCTAACCGGGTCTCGAACCCCTTCTATCCAGGTTACCAGGGCGCTGTTCTCACTCGTTTCAATCACGGTCCGTCCCACGGGCTTTACGAGCTTTGGGTGACGGGATGTCTGTTTCTCCCTTGGGGCCCTCATGTACACTCGGTCACCGAGCTTCAATTTACCTGTTTGTTTCGGTCCTATGCAACTTTCATCCTCTCCCTCGCAGAAATCCATCGTCGCCTTCCTGACTTAAAGACAATTCCCGCGATCAAGTGTTGCGGGTAGTTGGTGCTCCGTCATGAACCAGTATCCCATAGGTAGCTTCTCAGTAGAAAAAGAAGCGAAAAAAACCTCGGGAACACCTTGAACACAGACTTCACCTCAGCAGTCTTGGACGAGTACGTCGGGCGCGAAGGACGCGCTCTCCATAGCGATTGGAGCGCAAAGCTTGAGCCGTGGGACCGTGGCGTTAGTGCCAGGCAATTCCTGGCCAAGCGATGCGATATTCGTGTTCGGAGGTTGAAGGTCTGGGAACAAAATTTTCAGCCTTTTTTTTAAAAGCTCGATGGTAAAACTGGTCTGATGTCGGAAGATGGGGTAGTAACAATTGGATAGTGGTCCCATCTAAAGATCATTAGGTGAGTCTGAAAAACACACTAACTGCTCTTCATTTCTTATCCTCCTCTTGCCATGAGTACGGAAGACGAACTACCTGCTCTTCAGATCACGTCCTTCCCATCGCTTGCAGGGTATGAAACTCAAAAAAGGTTTGCTGCTCTTTTTTCACATCCTCCTGATAAGGAACCTTAAAACAGCCTGAGCGTCTTCAATTTATGTCCAACGGTGCGAGGTTTGCGCTTAATCGCTATGGAAAGCGCGGATCACCGAAGATGGCAAAGTGCCAGAAGCGCCGCGCGCGACACGTGCCGCGCGGGTGTTGTAGGAATAGAAGCTGCTCGCGAGCCGTTGTCTCGTCCAGCTACAGTATGATGTCGCCACTGTTGCCACGCGCAAATGTCTCTAACTTCTTTATCGCGCCGTTTTGAGGGACGAAAGTGGTATGTTCTTTGTGAACGCGTATAACAGTTCAAAAGGCACGGAGTCATTTTGAGGACCACTTGATCGCGTGGAGTGTCTTTAATACAGCTCCCAGACCTTGGATACTTGCGTCAGTATGAATTTTGAACGGTCTTCTACCGCTCCTCGCCGCTTCAATATCAGGTTGCGCTAGCACTGGCGCCTGCATTATTATTGCCTTCAGCTTGTCAAAGCATGACTTTTTCATGGAATCCCATTAGAAGGCCACTTTCTCGGACGTCATCTCATGGAGCGGAGCGGCTACCTTAGAGAATCCCAAAACGAACTTCCGGTAGTAAGAACACCGAGAAACGTTCGAAGGTCCGAGCGCGATTGGGGTAGCGGGTACCTTCTAATCGCTTCCACCTTGGCTGGATCCATGTGCAACCCATCACAATCTATTACGTGGCCAAGGAACTCCACTTTCCTTTCCAGCAACACGCATTTTTTGGGTTCAACCTGAGTCGTGCTTTTAACAGTTGCTTGAAAACCAGTTCCAGAACTTGGAAATGCCTCTCTACCGTTTCTGTGGCTACCATGATGTCATCCAGGTAGCAGAAGACTTCATCTCCTAGTAGAGGCTCTAGAACCGCATGCATCATACGTTGAAATACCGGAGGTGATGATGCGAGCCCGAAAGGTAGTACCCGGAACTGGTACAGACCTTCCGTTGTGGCAAACGCCGATTTCTCTTTTGCATCTTCAGATAGACTTATTTGCCAATAGCCTGCTGACAAATCCAGGGTTGGAAAAGTACCTTCGACCCTTCAAACTCTGAAGAATTGTGTCAATCGTTGGCAGTGGGTAACTATCTATCCTTGTCACCTGGTTGAGCTTGCGATAGTCTACGCAGAGTCGGAGTGTTCCGTCCTTCTTCTGAACCAAGACGATGGGTGAGGCCCAGCTCGATTTACTTGGTTCGATAATTTTCCGCTCATGCAAATCATTGAAGAATCCGTCGGAGCTCCACGCGAGTAGCCAGGGTATGGGGTACCGGGCGAGGCTTTTGTCGGATCGGTGGTGCCTCACCGGTGTCGATGTTGTGCTCCACCAGCGTTGTCTGGGTAAGCTCTTGCTCGCTCACCGCAAAGGCTTGAGCGTAGCTCTTGACGAGATTTTCAACTTCTTTCACTGTTCTCCGTGTAT